TCTAAAAATAAATGGAGATTATTTTCAATCCTCCTTGAGCAATTAGGTTCTCTATCTGTGAGAGAACCTTCTAGCGCCGGAACAGTAAGCTGTTTTGTTCTGCAGATGCCCAGCTAATTAGTAATAAATACAAGGAAGAGCCGTTAAAAAAAACCGACATCAAGATCATTGTTTCATGATCACTATTTTTATCATTAATATCATGATAACAACTGTATTTTCGTGCTTTCATATCTTTATTTGGTGCCTGGGATTTCGGGGAACATTCGCAAACTAAGTAACACTCTCAAGGGATGATTTGACAACTAGGAACATGATCCATGCTCTTGCGGTGGTACTTGTCAGGCGTAACCACGCAGAAACAGGTGCCATTAGATATCAACTTGAAAGCTCTCTGGATGACTTCGCTTCATTATGTTTGTCCCTTTCGTGCGTAGATTCACGTCATGTTTCATGACATCTGTCTTTTCTAAACGGTTATAGTACGAAATGCTTGTTAACTGAGTTAAGTCTGACTGGACGAAAAAATTTTTGGCTCTCGTGACGCAAGGACCTGGGTGCGTTCGGTTCGTATTTCATGACCTCGAGACAAATACTTTGCCGTCCGGCCCTCCAATTTAGTCAATAAGTTAACAGAATGAGTCTAAAAACCGGGTAAACTGGTTTGTTGAATTATGGCTGTCAGATGTTCTGCTATCAACCAAACAGATAATTACTCGGAATTCGAAGTAGGCAATCATACGACTATTTTACATGATGAACATATTAGCAATTCGTACTAACGACAAAACTATCCTATTAACATTTCATGACCTTCTCTAATTGTGGATGAGGCTTTCCCTAGGTCTTCCTTCTTTTTCCATGTAAAAAATTGACTAACAAAGAGCCCTACAAACTTCAAACGGATTTGAGGAAGGTTCGCTTGCATCGATCCGGAATGTCAAAGTATCTGCTCCAACAATAATTAAACGAAAAAAACACAATACGTTTGACCTTACTTCATCCTTTCACAACTTGATAAGTAAAAAGGTCGTTTCGGTTATTTTAGCGACCAAAATGTTTCTAGGAGTTACCACCAGAACATGCTATGTTTTAATGAGGATTTACGAAAGGAGAACAGTGGAAGGCCTATGGAAGGAAAAAAAAATTAAAGAACTTTCCTTCTTGAGATTCGGACGCAATATTCCTCGCAAAGTTTTTGAGAAGGGACCTTACAGAATAAAAGCTATAAAAATTGACATTTTTACTGTATCAGTAATAGTGCACAACAAAAAAAAATTAGGAGATTTAAGAATGAACTTACACGATCATTTAATCTCAATCCATTTAGCAATAAGTATATTAACAACTGTGGAATGTTGGACCTCTGGGGGCCTTTCCGCCGATTTCTGCACTGAGGTGAATTAGCTTTCTGTTGGATAAATCTCACACGGCCAATAAAAAGCAAACCGCTCTAAAAAGGACGGCAAACCGGAACTCGCCGTCAATCAAATGAAGTTGACTTGTGGCTTGCTCAGATTAAGCTATGGGCAGAGAATGTTGTATGGAGACTGCTTTTCTATTGCAGGTATAGGTGCGATAAAGTCCTGACAAACTCACCTGACATCGCTCTGCTTAACCTAGAACCAGACGTGGAAAATGACCAATGCAATATACGGTCATTCAATATCAAATTGATTCTTCAGTTTTTTTGAGTTGCTAATTTTAAAAAGTAAGTATAAATTGTCAATTTTATTGCATTTATCTAAAAGCTTTGGTTGTGATAACTATTTCCAAAAAAAGTCAGCTGCTACGATGGTCTAAATTGGATAACTATCTGAAAAAGCTGTCTAAATTTCTCCTCAATGGGACTGATAATGAAGCAAATATGGTCACAAAATAGTAAGCATTACTCCCTTTTTTTTATCAAAAAATCTCAGGTCTCTTTGTTCTCCCGCCATTATTCTCTATGACATCGCCAAGGCGCTCTCAAATCCTTGAGATCAACTAATTGTCTAATGAATTCGGATCATTTATTTGAATTGAAGACTAGCAAACTGTCAGAGAACCGTATGTGCTGACGACTGTGCTCACTTTTTTGTAAAAAGACATCTTAAAGGCGTAATTATTTTCGAAGACTACCTATGCTTCGATAGAAATTCACATATATGATTTTCAAGTATTCACAGTCATTTATTCATCACTTCAAGCGTATATTACGAACCAAAATAATGACCAGCTACTAGTTGGCTTCTTAGTTCAGTCGGTAGAGCGCTGCACCGGTATCGCAGAGGTCATGAGTTCAAATCCCGTTCAGGTCTAAATTTTTTTCAGGCCTTATTTTCACCACTGCTTAAGTAGTGTATATTACTGCGAAGATCGCTTTAGGTTACTGTCCCTATTAGGGGGATCCGTATTGCTGAAAAACATTGAGGTTCAAACTTTCCTAGAAGGGGAAGAAAACCAATAAACTAAACTAAAAACGTTTCGTATTCAGTGACTTTGGTGTTAGCATTTCTCTTGGCTGAGAATGAAAATTGCCAACTGGAAGGTTTGCCACTGGCCGATTTTGGCCGTGTACCTGAAAGACTTCCTCTGTCGGTAAGGACAAAGTCAATAAATGAGAATTTTGTATATTAAAAATTACGCTCATAGTTGTTTCTGTAATCATGATTCAACGCATTTTTCCATCTTAAGAGTTAGCGCCAACGCACTCTACGATTGTTATTCGGGGATTGTCGATTCATTTGTTTTCATTCATTAGTGAAGTCGGCTTTTCCTCTCAGTAAAGGCTATTGTGTTTATATGATAAACAAAATAATACATGGTTGCTTGTAGATATGGAGTTTCTCTTCTCGTGTTCAACTCGACATCCCACAAGTGAGCGCAATCGAGTAAAACACTCGAAGACTAATTCCATATGTACGCGCGCCCATGTATTATTTTCTATTTAACTGAAAGCGATAGTGAGATGGGAAAAAGCCCTTTCTCCTTTCCACACATCCGTCGTTTTTGTCGTCTCCGCTTACCATGCTCTGACACATGCTAAGCATAGTTGCATTCCATGGATACACAAGCACTTTCTTGTTACAGTCTCAGGTGCACCCTCGTATTACTTGCATATAGCGTTTGCAGTTCAGTTGTATCGTTTTTTACAGCTGTTGAACTTTAGTGGTCCCTCTTACCAAAAGAATTCCACTGCCATAGTGACACCTGATGATTAGCAATCGACAGCTTTCACCATGGTTTGATAGCTGTTGGTAAACCTTTTTTCTTACATACTTTAATCTTAAACGAGAAATGAGACTCCGCTTTTGTACGAAATACAAGATAAACCTGAACCTCATAAAAAGATTCACACAAAACTACTTGATGAAGAAGTATGCTCTCAAGGAAGAAACAAAAACTACAAAGAGCGAACTGAACTAATGTAAAAAACATACGGTAGCGGTGTTTCTATCCACCAATACTTTTACCGTAACACAGTGCAAAAAATGATGCCTAAATCTGTACTTATAGAGCCAAGATAAGAAACGGGATAAGCGCGGGAAAGGTTAATCAAAAATCTACTACTGTGGCTACTTCAAGCTAGTTTTTTCCCATCGCATTCCCGTGGTGAAACTCATAAATTTTTATCAGTCTCTTTCAATGTGTGGCCTGAGAAACAGCTTTTAAGTTCACTCTGATCCATTGATTTTTATCGCTCTAAAAAAAACCACGTCGGTAAACCACAAGCTTCTTTTGTTTATCTTACACGCGATTGTTATCATAAATTTGTGTTATCAGCTGTCGTTCTTTATATTCAAAAACGCTCAAAACTTTAATTTTAATTGTAAAAATTTCCCTTTTGTTCTACAAAGCAAACAGTTTAATAGACCTGGCGTTACTGTCATACAAGCTTGCAAGAAAATTCATTACGTTCCACAGCGTTTGATTAATGGGCATTTTCAAACATTTTAGCCTATTGAGATAAAATAACCGGGGACAAATGTTCAAATGCTAGTAAAGAGTAAGCTCTCTCTAAACAAGTACCTTTCCCAATTTACGGCCGTGCGTTGTTGTCCCCACAATGAAAAGCTGTCGGCAAATAGGCTTGTCAGCACACAAGAAAAGGTCTTATCCAAACAGGTATTTATCATTTCCTAAGCAAATGCACTTCTTAAAAAGTATTTCGCTTTTTTGAAAGCGAGGAATACTCGCTGACTAAAAAAATCAAGAAAAACCTCTCAAAGAAGAATTTCTCCAAGAAATGTACGAGTTGCTCCATAACGCCAGATTTTTGAGCAACAAATCCCATCTGATTACAAACTGGCATGTCAGTATTTAGACAAGATGTTTCCTCAACGAAAAACATGTCAAATTTGTCCATCTTCACTACAATGAAAACATGTCATTTAAGGGAAACTTGTTAAGGAATACGCGCTAGTTCAAATGCTGTTTAGTCTTCTGGGTACTGCTTCTCTCGGCTAAAGTTAGCCCTGGGAGAATCACGAATTCCTTGCAACGCCGCCTGGTTTCTATGAAAATATTGTAAAGGTCAGCGATTAGCATAACATTTCTATCTCTAATGGAAACATTTTTCAATAATTATACAGGACATGGGAATCTAACAACATCCCTCTTGATAAGAAAATCATTCCAAACAATCTGTCTCTCTTAAATTATTTTATAGAGAGAAACCATTTCCACTCCTTACTGTTCTTGTATACCACTCGTTCAAGTGGAGTGTTACGTTTACCTTAACGTTTATCTTAAATCTCACCTGTCTTTAGTCCGGCTACACATGTTAAAGCCGCCTACATTGGATTCCATAAACTATTGTTCCAACGTTGCGCAACAGATTTGTTTATGGACAGTTTTTTCCAAAGCTGACCGTCGGCCAATTTAACTTATGTTTGGCTTCCAGCTTCATTGTGTTGCATAAGCTTGTGTCTTCAGTCAAACGGAGGAAAACCTTCAAAAGAGAATTTTTTTATCAAACTCTAACAAAATATTGAATATAGGGCCTAGTTATTACTGGTATGAATGGAACAAAGAATAACAGTGTGCAAGACTGCTTTGGGGAACCAAGCACAGCGACCACTGCTTTCAAAGCTCTGGCCTATGTTTGCATTTTCGTTGTATCTTTGGTCGGAAATGGCGGCATCCTTTTGGCTATTTACAAGAACAAACAGCTGAGGAGATCTATAAACTACTTTGTCTTTAATATGGCTGTGTCTGATATATTAAATCCGTTGACAATCCTGCCAGTAACATTCGTTGAGATTGTCTCAGGATCTGATACTTGGAAAGTTGACGACCCGTGGTTGTTAGGAAACTTCCTTTGCAAACTTTCCTTCTTTCTCCCCGATGTTTCTGTTGCAGTATCAATTGAAAGCCTGCTGTTGATATCGCTGGACAGACTTATCGCTGTTGCCTTTCCGCTTAGGACAAGATATCTTTCACCGAAAGTTCATCTAATGAGTATCCTCTGTGCATGGATCATCGCCATCGCAGTTCATGCACCTTATTTTTACACTTTCAGGCTACAGCTTTACGAAAACAAAACTTACTGTGTCGCCAATTGGGGACCAACCTTTAATCATGTGGAAACACACAAACGATTTGTCACAGCAACGTTTATTACTTTTGTGTTAGTGCCAATCTGTGTCCTGGTGATCGTGTACAGTGTAATAGCTTGGAACTTGTGCCAAGAGCGAAAGAAAATGGAGCAAGAGTCGAGTAATCATCAAAAGAAACTTGGCAAACAAAGCAAAAAAATTGTTTGTAGCTCTGTAGCTATTGTAGCAGCTTTCGCTTTCTGCATGATTCCACAGCTTGTTTTTATCTTTACACGCATATTTGTTTGGAATTGGGAAGTGCCGCCGAATTGCGCTTTTCGCACAACGATCCCGTTCATTGCCTCTTTCATGTTGCACGCATGGAGTGCTGTTAATCCTTGCATTTGCTTTATATTCATTAAGACCTATCGAGACACTCTGAAGAAATTGCTCTGCTCTCTGTGGTCAACTGTAAATCATACACAGACTTTGGATCTATCGATGAATCCCGCTACGTTAGCACTAAGGATTCAAAAATGTCGTTCTACGCAAGTCTGATGCCCAAATTAAACTGGCTGATTGTGACCCTTAGCTGCGTAAGTAGTTGTTAAAATCAATGTTGACGACGATGCACCGATATGTTTGTTTAGTTATTTTTCAGCAGTCCCCAAAATTAAACTTTGATGGGCTGATATTTTTAAATAGAGATTATTTTTGTGGAAATAAATGGGTAAGTACCCATGTTCCCTTCTTCTTTGAATTTGGTTTTAAATTGCGCGACGTTCATGGAGATTTGCGCAAAAAGTAATCTGCATGCCTGAAGACGATATCCGTAAACCATACTGATTTTATTTTAATTATATTTTAAACTGTATATTTAAATTCAATGCTACATTGAAGTGATCAATATACTCACGAGAGTCCAAAGAAACAATCGTTTGCGGTTTATATGAAGAAATATCAAAAAGAAATCCTGGATCGGTTTTACCCACATAAATGAAGTGTTTGGCTGAAAAGCTACTAATTTACCTCGTGTTGTGATATGTGTCAATGAACTTCTTAGTCCATTCCCATTTCATTAACAAATCCTATTTTCATTTTTCAGAGGGTGTTCCTCATTTAATGTATCAAAGTCTCAATGCACAAATGTAATTTAGCAGTAATAGCTTTTCAATCAACGTATTGTATTCGGATATGGTAAAGTTATCGTTTTATGTTATTCATATTGTATTATTGAACTTTATTGTAAGTAGACTAACATCTCCCTTTGGAGAGTACGGCGCAATAAAGAGATACTATAAAAAAAAAAAAAAAAAAAAAAAAAAAAAAAAAATTTTTCAGAGGGTGTAAGTTTTAGAAGAAACTGTGGTTCGGCATCAGTGGCCATGGGAGTATTACGAGTCAAGAGAATAATCTCTTGTGCAGGTTAATTTAATTTCATTAACTGAATTGATAAGCGGAAAATTGGATACTATGATTAGTTTCACACTGAGTTCACCTAAATTTTAGGTGGTGTTAACTATCAAACCCAGAGGAGATGCTGGATGCACTTCTGTTAGGGTAACATTCGTTTCCCATCCATATTTCAGACTATGAGGTGTCGGGGAAAAATTGGTTGATGAAATTTGAGGTGTTTTAAAATTGTATCGGTAAAAAAAGTCAATTTTGTTGTTCCTGTTTAGGGAGGCTCCATAGGGTTTTTTTGACCGCGCGATATCTGGGTGGGCACATAGCACGGGCCATATAGGTGTCAACATAGAAAACAAACATGGCCGCTCGATACGATCGCACGATTGTCATCTGAAAAGATGTGTTAGAAACAGTTTGTGATGGAATCTAGGGTTTTCAGCAAATGCACCCGTAATATTCATAGACCCTCTAAGCCTGAAAAAGAGGTCAACCGAAAAGAAAACACCGTGGGAAAGATATCGCACAGTCTACGAAAGTCTACGCATACTCACATACCGACCTTGGGGAAGTTAATATTTTGCGACAAAGAAAATAGGGATCTTTCGAGTAAGATTTATCACATTTCCTTCGGTGGAATTTCCTAAGATTTGCTGGACCGTTAAACATATTTCTGGCCTTTCTAGTGCCTCTACATGTTGATAAAAAAAAATCCATGTGATCAAATTTGAGATATAGGAAGAAAACACAAAGTAAGCCTTACTTTATATATTTATTTTTTTGCTTTTAAATGATTTGCACAAACTGTGAAAATTATTAGAGATTTCATCGAAGCAAATAGAAGAAAATCAAACGTAAAGCCAAATTATCTTTGGCGAGCGCCTCCCTTCTTGGAGCCTTAGCTTAATAGCGTAAATCATTTTGATAATATTTGCCAAAGTAAACGATGGTCCGAAGGTTGCTCGTTGCCTTTCGATGGCTCTTAGTGACCTTGAAAAGTGAAAACATAAAAATAAAATAAAAAATAAAAAAAAACTGGCGCGCGCGCCAACATTGAGCCAAAGTCCCATGGAGCTTCCTTAAGGGAGCACCAAACAGAACATAGCTTGACTAAAGCTCGATACCAGTAACTTAGAGCGAACATCATGCAATTACGATTTTTTTCTAGGAATTACGCATATATCGTTTCTGCTCACCTCCCGACTTTTTCCTTTTTTATGGTGGATCCTTGCCAGCAATAGAAAATCCGAGCATTATCAAAGTAATAAGGAGTTGTATTGCGTCCTCTAGAGCAAACAATCAACTACAAAAATGAAGCGCCTGGATATCTGCTCTCAGCCGCTTGTAAATTGAAACAAAAATAACTTATGAATAAGACATTTATAGATTGATTTTCTTCAGGGTTTTTGGAATTAAATGGAAAAGTAGAATAAATATATGTCGTTTGCCGTTTTCCAAAAAAGAGATGAGGAAACTTATTTGAGAAATTCGAATACCGCGTGGTACTGATTAACCTACGGGTATTAATTTGCGAGATAATGTGTTTAAACAAAGTTGTTGTCGGAAAGAGGAGACAGGAAGTTAGTATTAAACGGACGCATCACACGGTAGACATAGGAGGTACAATGGCTGATATCAGATATTTCAAGAAAGCAAATTCAAAGTTAACATTTGTGTGTAGGATGTAGAAAAGTGATATATAAAAAAAACATACAAGACATAGTATCTGTTTGAGCTCGACTTCCTATATTTAGAAAAGAAAAAAAATTATGGTAAAAAGTAATGAGGTTTCACCAAAGTAAGCCTTTTACGAAGGCATGAGTTGTAAGCAGTTTTCAACAAGCCCTTCAACTCAATATTTTTATCCGTATCTCAGGATTCCCACTCAAATGTTGTCATTAGGCGAACTCAAACATTTTGGCTCAAGTGCAAGAGTCTTCTTGTACGTTTCATAAGGAAACATCTGTCTCCCTAATGGAAAAGTTAAGTTAACAGGTGACTCACTACTGAATAATTTTTTGGACGCTTCAACATGCCTAATTGAGAAAAAGATCTGACCTACGAAAAAAGTGACAGGCAAGATGTATAGTTCAACGTTATTTACGCTTTAGTTCTTCTGTTGAATAAAAATTTCAGTTAATGAAATTGAACGTCATTAACCTTAGTGGACAATTTATATTTTTAAAAAACATATTTTGTGCTCTTCCATGTTTGCGTTACTTTAAGTCCTCCATAAAGTATACTTCCTCTTTCTAACATTTATTGGTAACTGAACCACTTTTAAAGCAAAAGTGAACCAACCAGCTAAGACAGGTTGTAAAGTTTTTCCATCAGTAAAGCAGATAGATCGTATGGAAGTACCTCTCGTTAAACTCTTGTGTAAGAGACTCTTTTCATTTGAGTACCGGATACGTTTCACTTTAAGGATTTGTTTTTAAGGCCACAACCATGCTGGATAAATTTTAAACTTTGCTTGGAAAAAACAAATATCTATTTGTAGCAAATCAATAAAGCTTGAATAACATCATATTGCTGTCAAATTGCTCACGCTCCTGATGAGTTGCTCTCTATTACGGAAAACGACCTGTGTTAGACATTTGCAGGGAATCGTCACGAAACTAGGCATTTTCGCTCAATTCAACTGAAAACATAAAAGAACTGGCAGGATAGGTGCTTAGTGAGGCACAAATATATGATTGTTTGCTTTAAATGAGCCTGAGTGACTATGTCGCATCGAGCTCTTGTTCAGGGTCTCTAGGGAAAGGAAACGAGCGGAAGCTTTTGAAATAATTCAAGTGGACATCTTAGCAAGAACTGCGGCAAACTAGGACTCTAGTACATTTTAAGCGGAGAATTTACATTCGGCTTAAGGTTTTGAACTTGCATTTTGAAGGCGTGATGTGCTTGGTTCTATTCTCATTTATCTGCCTTCCTAAGTTCCGCAATGAGAAAATGAGACTTGTACCAATAAGTAAGTTGATATTTGAAATCTTATATGAAAAATATGCTCTTAACTAAAAGGCTATTTTCCCCACTTTCAACCAAGAAAACAGATTTGTAACTTAAAGCCTGCCAGGTTCTTCTCTACAGTACAAAAAGCGTGAAATAAATGGGTTGAAGAGATCATCGAGTCAAGCACAAATTATGGAAGACACAAAGCCTTTAAAAGCAAACCTAATATTCGTTTTTCAGACCACTTTTTCAGCGCAGGCGGTAAAGCACGGTTTAAAGTTCGTCATATCGAGTTCAACTGAACACAAGGATAATCGATCTTTGATCATACAAAACCCCTCGCTTAATGATGATTGGAAATTCAAGCTGGGGACTACTAAACAAAAACTTTTCATCCGACGCGGAACATGCAGCAGCTCAAAGCACCACTGACCAAGATTGCGTTCCAAGAAATGGCCAGGCCGAAAAAGCTTGGAAAGCCATAGCTTACTCCTTGATTCTCGTGGTTTCCTTCGTCGGGAATGTCCTGGTTTTATTAATCTTCTACAAAAACAGACAGCTGCGAAGGTCACCCATCAACTTCTTCGTCTTTAACATGGCCTTTTCCGATCTATTTAACCCTTTCACCATCATGCCTATCACAGTCGTTCAGATAATCTCAGGATCTGACTCCTGGAAAGTTTCCAATCCATGGCTACTCGGAAATATTTTGTGCAAACTTTGCTACTTTCTTCCAGATGTTTCGTTAATAGTCTCTATCCAGACCCTTCTATTGATCTCATTTGACAGGCTCTTAGCTGTGGTCTTTCCGTTTAAAGCCAGTCTCATCTCCCCAAAGGTACGATTGACTGCCATCTCGTGCACATGGCTTATCGCGTCTGCTCTTCATGCACCTTATTTTTACACTTTTCAATTGTTCTCCGACCAAAACGAAGCATATTGCAAGCAGCTTTGGGAACCTACAATAGCAGATCACCTAGAGACACACAAGAAGTTTGTCACAGCAACATATATCATTTTCTTTTTAGTGCCTTTCTGCCTCTTGGTCTTTGTGTACGGCATCATCGCGTGGACTTTAAGTAATAACAACAAAAGAAGACAAAGGGAATTATCTTGCATACAACGCCAACGGGATCAGAAGCTCCGTAAAACTATCCGAATGTCAGCAGCTATAATAATTGCTTTTTTTATTTGCACGACCCCACTTTTTGTTTACATGTTCACCATGATTTTTATTTGGAACTGGACTGACGACCTGCAAGCGTGCTCATTTCACACGTGGATTCCATTCTTTTCTTTCTTTATGGTTCATGCTTGGAGTGCTGTAAATCCATGCATTTGTTTAATTTGTATTAACGTCTATCGGAGCAGCCTTGTGCGAATTTTACCATTTAGCTCCAATGTCGTCCATGTAACTGCTACTCGATAAGTAATGTTATGTTCCTGAGAACGCTGAATCGAGTAAAACATCTTCGCTATTTTCTAAGCGTTAATCCCAACAAAATTAATATCATACATTAAAAACCGATGTTAATAAACAAAAATATCATGGAGTAAAGATAGAAAAAATAGAATAAAGGTAAGATAAAGGAAATAGAGAAAAATTTTTCGCAGTTATCAGAACGTTGATCCTAACAAAATTAAGTTTACACTTAAAAAAAAACAGATATCCGTAAACGAAAATATAAACAACCGAAAGAATAGACTAAATTTGCTGTTAAACATCATTAACATACGAAGAACTCAACAACGACCAGTTGTATTTGAGTAGAATACAAAGAGCTATCTTTTCAATAACAGTGTACACGACATCTTATCGAAGATAAAGTGGAAATCTTTACGTTCTTAATTGACGTTTGTAGAGTTTGTTTTTGTTCCCTATAAATTGGACTTGTAGTCTTCGAAAGGCTTTTTAGCGAAGACAAGAAAATACTACTGCGCAACATCCTCTCTTTATTTTAAACTCTGCTTTTTATTTTTCTAACAAATTAGCCCCAGAAACTAAGCCCCTTTAAGCATAGTCCCGTTTTATTGTTTCACTTGATCATAGTGTGGCCCGTTTGAGGTAAGGAGACTTGCAATAAAAATCACCAGTTTATTATTATTAAAACTGTAGACTTGTTACCTTTAGGGCTATATGTGCTGAGACAGTTTACTTTGTACGGCTAGAGAGCATGTGTAGCAGTACACCGACGCTATTAAAATATCATTATTCTATCAATTTGAAGTTTGCGTTTTTACAAACATGGAAAGCTATGTAACCCAAAAGCTTGCATATAACGTAATTACAGGAATAAGGCCTTTTGCATAAATCTCTGATTTATTTCTTTATTATCCTGAGTATTAAGTGTTGCGTGATTGCTACGAGGCAACATTAACTTAGCGTCATGATGTAACGGTGGTTGCCATACGCCGTGTTTATGATTAAATCTTGTGGATGTTATGATAATATCCACAAGATTTAATCATAGTCTGTAGGTATCTGATATGTGTAATATTCACAGTTTCTAGGCAATAAAAACTTTGAAACAGAAACGAATACCCATTCATCCTATTTTCAACCTTTTTTTTAAACCTAATCTGGACAGAAAATGAAAATAGCTTGAGAGAGAACTTAAAGTCACAAAAAATTATGAAAACAATATGGTGTAATTCATAGCTACGATAACAGAAAGTGACAGAGTAAAAGTTGTCCTTTGAATAGACATTAATTTGTGGCTTGGATTAATATTTTTACCCATTTTATTACTTTGGAATTTAATTGATCCGTTCTAGGGACTTGCGTGTATATGATAATGTTCAAAGCCGAGGAATGAAGGAGGATATTAGTGAGCGTGGTACGCGAGGAGGGAAAACTCGCTGTAAAAATGCGTAAAGTTGGGAAAAGATAACTTTTTGTCAAGCGTAGACTTGTTGGTGTTGTGACAGATAAGTGATTAAACTTCTTAACACACTTAGGAAATAGCATGAGGCGAAGTGAATCTATGAAGGGGTGGAATCCGATTTAGTTAGAGGGAAGGGTAAAATTGTTTTCTTTTACATTATTTCCCATAGGGTGTGCTTATTAGAATGCTGCCGAGGATTAGCTTTACCTAAGAGTATACTTCTGAGAGTGTTGTTTAAAGGGGCTTCATAGGGTTTTTTTGATCGCGCGAGATCTGGACCCGAACATGGCGCGAGCTCTAAAAATATCGCCGAGCAAAACAAATGAGGCGGCTCGATACGATCGCACGATTCTTATCACAAGAGGTGTGTAAAAAATATATCCGCATCATGGACTCTGGGACCCTGGGAATTTGTAGGCCTTTTACGCCTGAAAAAGGCCAACATAACACCCGCGGCGCGTTCGGTTGCTTCGAGAAGACCTCAAAATAATGAAAACAACGGGGGAATTGTTAAGAAAAGGCTACAAAATTTGTTCAGCGAAAACCGAATTACGAAGACGGCTGCGAGGAAAAAGAACAACTTACAAAACGGGCTCTAAGATCTTCTTTATATTTTCCATAGTGCAGCATTTCGATGATGCTTGCAAGGATTCCTCGAAATGAATCGCTTAAAGGTATGTACCTTATTATCTTTCACAGAGCAACAATAGAATACAGGGCCACTGATGTCCAGTAGTGCTTATGTTGGATGTCCAAGAATTTCGCAAGTCTGAAATTAAATGCTTAATGAATACTCGTTGTCCGCGATTCGAAAGTCTACGCATGCTCAGATACCGATCTTGGCGAAGTTCTATTCCATTACGTAATGTTTTGCGACAAAGAAAATAGAGATCTTTCAAGTAAAATTTATCGCGCTTCCCTCTGTGGAATTTCCTGGAGACCTGAAGATTTGCTGGACCGTTAAATATATTTGTGCCCTTCCTGATACCTGTTAATGAAAAAAATTCATAGGAAAAATTTGAGATAGAGGAAGAAAACATAAAATTGCAAATAGCGAGAAAACTACCTTTGTAACCCTCTTCTTTTAAATAATCGGCAAGAGAATTTTCGAAACTTGTGAAAATTTTGAGAGTTTTCGCCGAAGAAAATTGAAGAAAATCAAAAGCAAAGCCAAATTATTACTAGCGAGCGCCTCCCTTCGTGGAGCCTCTGCTTAATCATTAATGACGAAAATAATTTTTTTTAATGTATAATACAGCGAACGATAGTCCGAACCTTGCTAATCGCCTTTGGATGTCTTTTAATGACATAGAAAAGCGAAAACAAAATATTTTCTTGAAAAACAATACGCTGGCGCGCGCGCCAACGTTGAGCAAAAACCCTATGGAACCAGCTCAAGGTTAAACACAACTCGAAGAAATATGTCCATACGTGTGCTGGTGACTGCCAGCCTTCCCGCAACCTTTGTACTGATACATCTGCAAGACTGCCTTACTTTATATTTTAAGTTAAGAGGGGTTATAAACAGCATGAATTCCAAAAAAACATATGTTTACCCACAAAAAGCGTCACCGAACTTTCTGCTTTAGGAACTCCCCGACCGCTACACGGGTGGCACTTGTTCGCGCCCATGCATTGCGCAGCGCGCCAAATCGTAAACTTTCCTTGCATTTTACAAAAAAGAAAAAGTTTCGTCTGTCTCCTGATTATTAATTTTGTGGGTTGTATACTAATAAAGTAATATAGGAGTTAATACCAAACTCTTACCATCGAGAATTACCTAACGAAATTAAATATGCAATTTAGCGGACGGCGCCTATTTACCCTGATAATAGAGTTTAGCAAGAGGACGGGAACGTCATTTCAGAACGGCGCGCGCAGCAAAAATGCCGAGAAAAAACCGGGTCGAGAACACCATCGCGTTGTGTTGAAAAGTGACTTAGCATTCGTTTCAACGAATCGTCCACGTTATATTTGTTCTTGAATATCCTAACCTTGGCTCTTTAGAATCATTATCAGCTTTGAATTTTCGGTTTCACAGACCGCTTGAAGGACAACGAAATTATCTTCTTTGAGAGTGAAACAAGCACAAACCGAGGATAGTTTACTTCAAGTGAGTTGTTAATATGAATCCACATGGGCGATTAAACAGCTAAGTCTCGAGTCTGCAGATTCATCTATCAAATTTTGAAGCCCACTAAAATAATTTTTTTCTATGATTTGTATCGCTGTCATTTCGTCTCGTGCTTCTAGATTTCAGCACTACTCGTTTTTCTTCATAATTTTGTAAAGTATAATTTGGAATTGAAATCGTCGCCGTTTTTTCCCTTGTCTACTGAATATTCTTCTCAATCATGACAGTAAACCTCTTTTGAGCACCACCTTCTTAGAGTTGCAATGCATTTTGAACGGAGTTATCAGAAGTTATGGCGAAAAAATGTAGAGATCAAGCGACCCAACGATGGAGTTGTTTACAATGAGTTCCCGTTTAACCATGAACGAATGAAATGCACTCAAACTAGTCACTGACGAAACGGTTAGACTGAGGAATCAGACTTCGTTCCTGTTTTATTTTGTTTTTGTTTAATTTAACTTTTTTAACGAATAAAGTCGTTCAAGACTGAATCAAATTAATAGATTTAGAAAGCCGTGCCGAAATCAAGTTGATTGTTATTTTCTTTCGTAGATGACTTTCTTGTCTAAGTTTTCACCGGCGCTGATCAAAACTAAAGACATAAAATAGTGTAAACCCGAGCGATTCTCAAATTTTTTTATCTCTGACTTCAATCCGCCGAACACTTTTTAATCAAAGTTAAAAACGACAATAACAACAAATAACGCCGAATAATATAGCAAGTAACCTTCGTGTTGTTTCATTTTGATAAACTTCAACATGAAGCAAGTTTAATTTATTGATGAATTAATTCACGATAAAATTAACAGCACCCGTTCTTAGAGTTTTCATACATGGTTTAAGAAATGTATCAAAGAAAAGCCCTCACGTTGCTTAAAGCCACGCTCAATTAAAAAAGGTAACTGAGCCCTAAAATCTTAGATAGCTTGCTGACGATCGTGTTTCCTTTCGGGAATCCAGAATAAATGTAGCGGTAAATTTTCACAAATTCACCGAATAAAACAAAGAAAGGAACCTGGTTATCCTGGAAATGAGTTCTGAAATCATTCCAAACAACACTATCTCGTTTATAGGTGCACACTTAACGCAAATCCTAGGCGTTTTGATCACGACGGGAAAACCAGCGAAATGACGTCCTGAACTTGATGGGGAGAACGGCAACGCTAACACCGGAAGTCGAAATAGAGTCGTGTCCAGATTATCCGCGCGCTTTCCCGTTCTGAAATGACGTTCCCGTCCTCTTGCTAAACCACTCTAATGTACTACTGTCGAAAACGTTTCGCTTTTGCTTTGCAAATAGCTAGTGCTTATCCTAACCGAACTTTATGGACATTTGGAAACTTGATTGAATGTTTTCTTTTCATCACTTCAAACGAATGGAGTGCGGTCTTTTGGTGTTAGGATTCGCGC